ACACACACACACACACACACACACACACACACACACACACATGGAATTAAATTATAGTTCAGAAATAAGGTTTCGTCACTGAGAACTTTGTCGGGCCTCAAGGTACTTATTGCAGCCGCTTTGTGATGGGTGCATTCGGTTACATTTTCTCTCCACAATTTCCAAATCACAATGGGTTTTACATTTTAATCGTCTTTTTTATAAGAATGATTCCGTCTTTGGGGGTTTTTCGCTATACCTGGAACTATCGACCATATCGTCTGCCTTCCAAATAGAATGTTCTATGTTTAGCAGGCTACCACGTTGATGCCTCACTGTCTAAAGAAATGTGGGCGTTTACCCCCCCCCCCCCCCCTTCCGATAGACAAAATTGACTGATCATGCCTGTCAAAACCAACCCGGAATGAGAAGGATGTAACAACTCAGTAGAAAGACCGAGATAATCGACAGAAATTAAACTTTTGCTCACTCGAGAACAGAACCCGGACCTCCTACGCGAGACAGTAAACTGCCTTACCACTTACCCCGACACAACAAACGCCAGTCTGACTAGGGATGAAGGAAGGCTTTCACTTTTTCCTACAAGCAAGTAGAGAGTGAAAACCTGACTTGTATTTCGAACTGAGATTGTAATAAAAAATACAGTTAACAGAAGCATTAATCGCTACTGTGATGTATGAAACATTCCACGCTATATCTTTAGATAATTTCCTAGGGCATTCTGATAGCAAATTATATGGTATATGTTTCTGGGCATCAATGAAAATTAATGGGAAATTAAACAGCAAGAACATAATTAGTAGGTAAAGCAACATTTTAACAAGTTTTGCATCCCTTAAAGACACTCTTGAGGAATGCGGGCTGTCTATTTCTGACTTCTGACCTCGAGTGGTTGCGCCGTTTCTTACGGAGTTAGCTTGCACCTTTGTTTCTGTTATTGCAGTCAACGGGTGATCTTTGTCAGATGTGTCCTTTGTTGAAAAGTCAAGTTGGACTACTTCCCTTGTTGCTTCAACCAACCGGGGATCTTGATTTAAAGCGGGATCAACCGAAACCTCGTTTTGGACCTCTTCTTCTGCTTCCAACGTGTGATCGTGAATTACTATGCTATTTACAGAGGTTTCAGATGGGATCGCTTCCTCTGCTGTTTCAGTAAGCCAGACATATTTTGTTTTGATGTTTGATTCTGATTTAGTATTTGACACGGAACTGGACGAAGGACATGATATGGACCTTGACCTGGGCCCAGTCTTTGAAGAAAGTTTGCGTGCCGGAGAGTACAGTTTATTCAACTCGGACGGTCGTAAGGCCAAACCGGTAATGCCAGCATCGCTTGCAGGGAAGATCGATGAAAGGTCTCCTTGTACGTGCTCGACACCTCTAGGTACATCAGTGTCTTTTCTACTTATAACCGATACCGCCTCTCGGGACGGCGATAACGAATGCGAATCGTCCAACCAATCGCTGTTTTGTCTACTCAGTTTGCTTGACCTTCGCACAAAAGATGGTCTTGAACTTTGACAGCAGTAACGCCAGTGTAGACAAAACCCCACAAGGCTTATCGTGTTTTTTCTACGAGTCAGCCCCGCTTGTGTGTGCGCCCGGGAAGTTCTGAGAGCCGCTGTACTTGACTGAGCGGAAAGTCTGAATCTTGACGCACGTTTGAGACTGAAAATTGTGACGCACGAAGTGAAGATGATCACTGTTACAACGGTCAAGGTCACAACTAATCCGTTGAGATTGGAGTGCACTTTGAGCACTTCTTTGTAAGCTTTCGTATCACTCCTCTTGAAGATGGTGGCGTTCGCGGAGGGGTCGAACGTCCAGGAGTAACGGCAACTACCCAATAGCAGAAAGTAGGTCACGATAGTCTCCAGGTGGCCGAGGACGAGCATGATCACCGTCCGACGTCTCGTGAGCAGCTTCTTAAAGGTCAAAGGTTTCACCACGCAAAGGCATCTCTCCAACGACAAGATGACCGTTGTGAACATGGACATTTGTGAGAAGCCGGTGCGGAGAAAGCCCATCAGGATGGAGGAGATTGTCTTCAATGTGCTGTGATGTCTGCGGACTTGCACCCAGTTGATGAGGAATCCCAACGTGCCCACGAGAGACGTCAGGCTGCACATCAGATCAGTGACGGAAAGGCACAGCAGGGACAAGACGGTGCCATCCTATGAGAGATATCATAGAGGTATCATATTACTCATCCTGTGAGAGATATCATAGAGGTATCATATTACTCATCCTGTGAGAGATATCATAGAGGTATCATATTACTCATCCTGTGAGAGATATCATAGAGGTATCATATTACTCATCCTGTGACAGATATCATAGAGGTACCATATTACTCATCCTGTGAGAGATATCATAGAGGTATCATATTGCTCATCCTGTGAGAGATATCATAGATGTATTATATTACTCATCCTGTGAGAGATATCATAGAAGTATCATATTACACATCCTGTGAGAGATATCAAAGAGGTATCATAATATTACTCATCCTGTGAAATATAGCATAGAAATATTACCCATCCTGTGACAGATATCTTAGAGATATCATATTACTCATCATGTGAGAGATATCATAGAGGTATCATATTATTCATCATGTGAGAGATATCATACAGGTATCATATTATTCATCATTTGAGAGATATCATAGAGGTATCCTATTACTCATCCTGTGAGAGATATCATAGAGGTATCATATTACTCATCCTGGGAGAGATATCATAGAGGTAACATAATTATTACTCCTCCTATGGTCGACAAGAGACAGAAACGTTGGAGCTGAATTAATATAAGTTTGAATCGGTAGTTGTTTTGCTGTTGTTATTGTTGTTGTTGTTGTGGTTGTTGTTGTTGTTGTTGTTGTTCTTCTTCTTCTTCTTCTTCTTCTTCTTCTTCTTCTTCTTCTTCTTCTTCTTTGTTTGTTGTTTGTTTGGTTTTGGGGGTGGGTGGGTTGCTCTTTGTTTTTGGTTGTGTGTTGTTGTTTTTTGTTGGTTTTTTTGTTTCGGGGGGTGTCGTCGTCATTGTCGTCGTCATTATTATCGTCGTTATCATTTTTCTCTTCCTCCCCCTTTTCCTTCACTTCATCTTCTTTCTCCTCATTCCCCTCTTATAACTGCTGCCACATCCACACCACTACTTTTACTACTACTACTACTACTACTACTACTACTACTACTACTACTACTACTACTACTTTTATTACAGTTCTACAACTATTATCATTATCATCATCGTTATTTTCACCATCATCATCATCATCATCATTATCAGTAGTGCTTGCAGCCAGGGGCGAAGCGTCTATATAATTAAATAAACACTGCTCCCCCTTCCGTAATTTGGGAACATCGTTACCGTAAAATAAATCCACAGACGTTGGCCTTATAAATCTTTACTGATTCAAATTTGAGACATGTGCACTGCACTCAAAATTGTTTCATTGCGTCATAAATACCCTGTTCACCTCTTTCGGGCCACTTTCATAAGCAGTTATAAGCACTGATTATGTAAGCTATCATTTGGATCGATATCCAGGGCCTGGGTAGGGGTAAGGATGGAATGAGCTTGAGAGGGGGGTAAAACAAGATAAGAACATTCATTAAGTGAGTTGTATTAGAACGAGAGGCATACCAAACATTTTTTACCTGACCTTGAACGAATAAGGTAGAAAGCTGAAATTTTGGGAGAAAGCCAACAATCATCTTCCTATAATGCATGTACATTTTGGGGCATTTCCAGTCACTGGTTTTAACACCAGCGCACTGTAAGTGAATGGGGGTATGTTGTTCTCCAATTTCAACATGAAAATGGAGAAAATTGAGCACACGGCAGCAATGAAGTTTTTGTTCTTGCAAGGCAAGCAACTACAAGATATTTTACAGAGATGCAGGCCGTATATATATGTATGTATACATAGAACTGATTGTCCACCCTATACTGTGATAAAAATGTTAGTGTAAAAAATTCAAATGTGGATTCATGGACATTGAAGATGACCACCGTGATGGTCGCCCAGTGACAGCAACAACAGAAGAGAATTTGTTGAAAATCAAGAAACATGTGCTGTCCGATAGGGGGGTGACAGTCGAACTTTTGAGCAAAGAAACTAGGCTTAGCTTTGGATCAGTTGAAAGAATCTTATATGAACGTTTGAATATGACATAAGGTCTCTGCGAGATGCGTCCGACGTTTGTTGACTCTTCCTCAAACAGAGCAACGTGTGGATTGTTGTCAAGAATTGCTTGGTCTGTATGAAAAGGATAAACCTAATTTTTTGAAAGACTTGTAACCATGGAAGAGACATAGGTCCACCACTACGATCCAGAGTCAAAACCTGCATCAATGTAGTAGAAATCTCCCTCGTCTCCAACACCAAAGAAGGAAAAGGTGCTGCCATCTAGAGGAAAAGTGAGTTATCAGTTTTTTTGGGGGGACCAAGAAGGAGTGATTATAACAGGCTAACTTGAAAATGGAAATACGATCACCGAAGATCATTATTCTAACCAGCTAAAAAAAATTACGAGATGCTTAAAAAAACAACGCAGAGAAAAGATCCGAAAAGGCATTTTGCTGCTTCACGACAACGCGCCTGCACACACTTCAAGAAAAGCTAAAGAAACTGCGCGGGAAAAGTGGCTATGAAAATTTGACACATCCACCGTATTCTCCAGATTTAGCCCTGTCTGACTTTTTAAAAATTCCCTAAACTGAAAAAGGATTTAAAAGGAAGGCATTTTGAAAGTGATGGTGAGGTCAAAGAAGCGGTAGAGGGCTGGTTATCTGACAAAGAGAGGGTCTTCTATTCTCATGTTTTTTTCAAGGTCATACACCTATGGCAAAAATATATAACTATGGGAGGCAACTACCAAGAGAAAGATTAAGGTTAGCACTAAATTTCAGCTTTGTACCTTTATTCCTTCATGGTCAGGTAAAAAAAACTTTTGGTATGCCCCTCGTACATTATTCTAAATTTAGTATCACGTTTCGAGTTCAGTAAGAAGGGGAAAAATCTGTTGACTATCGTTATACAGTATAAATATCCTTCGGTCTTTGGTTGTTACTTATTGGTTTACAGTCTGTTTCGAAATTGTAAAAGACAAACAAATATAAGATTATAAGAATATGTGTTCGGGCATAAAAGACAAGAAACTCACACAGAAAGAAATTGACACGCACAAAAGCCCCACATCCATACAAAAACACGAACACTAACATATTATGCACACTAAAAACACCGCACGCACACACATATATACACAGAGACACACTCATACACACATGCACGCATGGACGCACGCAAACACCCACCCACACACGCACGCACGCACGCACGCACGCACACACGCACACACGCATGCATGCTCGCACGTACAAATACGTACCCTGGCACTCGCACAGTCACGCACAACTAAATACACTTACCCTAAAGCCTTGGCGTCTAAATATGACGATATTCAGTATGTTCCCAACAATACCAGCCAGAGAAGTAACAATCACACATACGTAGTTCACAACTCTCAAAATATCAAAAACTTCTCCCTCCAACAATGCTTGGCACGCGCCCTTGTCAAAGACATAGGTAGAGTTGTTCATTTTTGCTTTAGTTTTCTATTGACTCGTTCTTCTTTTCATTCTTTGTTGTTTGTTTTTGTGTTTTTTTCTATTTTCTTTTTTACATTCTTTCTTCCCACCTGTGGAACTACCTATTTTGTGCTGAATCAAGAAATTATGTCTATCTCCAGTTAATTGAGCTTTTCGTTAACACTTTCTGAATTACGTAATATAACCACGTCACTGTCTCTGATCTCAATGAGACAATATTCATTGGGATAGGTTTTTGATTTGTAAACATTCAGGTAGCTTTGTTTATCGTTAATGTTTTTTGAAGAATACCTTTTTTATCTTTAAATATACATGTTCATGTCTTTGTTTATTTATCTATTTACTTATTTATATGTTCATGAATTCCTTTATTCTTTTATTCATTTATTTTTTATTTATTTGTTTGTTTATTATGTATTTATTTATTTAAGCTTATTTATTTCAAGAATCGGCATGTACACGGTAGCGTTTTCGATGTTAGGTCACACCAACATTTTTCCAGACCCAGAAGGGAAAATATCACTTAATTATAGTACGTTGTTAATCTCAACAACTGAACAATGACAACAAAATGTAGTACTCATCCAGAAATCTGTTGGTTGCTTCGAAAGAAGCGTTTCCACAATACTTTCTTTTTTTCTATCTTTCATATAGGTAAAACCGCAGATGGTTTCTATAGTATAGAGTCCGAGGTTTGAATGTCACAAAATGAATTCGAAGAATACTGCAGCCACTTTGATGTACAAGGGTGGGGCTGGCGAGAACTGAAGAAATACCGAACAGGCGGTGTGGGGTCACTGTTTAAGGACGTAGCGGGCACATAGTACTATTATTATGTCCTATCAGCAGCAGACTAAAGGCAAAGACAAAGTTGCACAACATTAGAACCATGATAATATTCAAATCACAAACACGCACGAGCTTGCACAGTTTGTACATAGTATGCCCCTCGAACGCTTAACGTTGACAGGGATGAAAAAGAAAATTTTGTTTAATAGTAGGCATTATAATACTATAGTATTGTTGTTTGCCATTTGAAGTTTTTGGAAGAAGAAAACAGTTTGAGAATGAGTACGAATATCGAAGTTTTGCTTCTGGTTTGAACTGCTTCGAAGAAGCGCGATTGTGGCAGAATGTGAGTCTTCAGTGAGTTATCTGATTCGTCATCCTATTTCGCGCGCAGAACTGGGAGGAACCGATGATTTCACAACGGTGAATGGGCAAATACGCGATGCGTTAGCGATGTCCAACACAAGACGGAATGGTAAATGAAGGAAAAATAAGTATCGATCATAGCAGTTCAATGCACTATCGCGATACAAAGGACAGGACAGAACCGAATAGTTTCTAATGTGTTTGTATAGAATTAATTAGTCTCTTAAGCTTGATTAATTTAGACTGTGTGTGTATATGTGTGTGTGTGTGTGTGTGTGTGTGTGTGTGTGTGTGTGTGTGTGTGTGT